TCATGGTATGGCGCTGATAGTAAATGGATAAACGCAAAAACAGGCCGATTTATGGGTGGGAAAAAGAAAAAATGTCATCTGGATAAAGTGGATTCGAAGGATAAATAGCCAAATCGGTTATTACAAGAATGTTTATGTTTGGACTATCACCCTTGAAGTGATGCTGATCTGTGGACAATGATAGGGTAAAAGAAAGATTAGGTAGCAATCATGGAAGACAAGGTTAGATCTGGCGATCTTTCGGGAAAAGTGAGTAGCACTATGAATGAATTGGCTTTGATTTTGTAAAAAGAAGGAAAAATATTCGAGGCGTGAGGTTTAAAAGTAGAGTTTCAAGAAAAGATGACGCTGATCGGTGGAACTAGATATAGGAAAAGAGCGAAGGAACTAAATGTTCTAAATCTCAATCAATCTCAGTGCCTTCCTTTCTCATCTTCCTTCTCGTGCTCTTCAACTCCGAAAAAGTCTTCTAATCTCTTCAGCACAGTTAATAGAGCCTTTCTAAATGGAGTATTTTCCTCTTCTTCATCTTCTTCTTCCTCTTCTTCAGCATCTTCATTATCCTCATTGTCCCCGTCTTCCTGATCCTCACTAGACTCATCAGCTTGTTTTCTGGCTGCGTTAGACGTTGCTGTTGCTGCTTTAGGTTGAGATTTACTCGATTTTCCTTGTTGTAAGTTTATCTCTTTTGTCTTCTTTGTCGCCTCCTCATTTTCATCATCATCATCATCATCCTCATCATCATCATCGTTGTCATCTTCGTCTTTAGATTTGTCGTCGTCCTCATCGTTTTTCGTCGGGGGAGGCTTAAGTTTGGTGGAGGGGCTGAGAGAGGTGGGCTTTTTGATGTCTTTCTTCGATGCAGCTGTTGGCAGAGCGGGTGTTGTCGTGCTTTGGCGGGAAGTTGGTTTAACAGGCTCCTCCTTTTTCTTATCTCCCACGGAACCGACCTGTTTGCCCGACTGGCGTGTTGGCTTGCCGGCAACCGGGGCTACTTTTTTTATAACTTTTGGCAATACTCGTTTCTCTGCCCGGAAATGAGCATAAAATAAGTACGAAGACGGTAGGGAGGGTTGAAAGAGAATAAGGGATAGGCATAATTAAGCGGATAATTGAGCGGATTTCATGAGGTTAATACCATACTTACCTTTGGCATCTGGAATCCCATTTCCATCAGCATCATCATCTAAGTGGTCGGGAATACCATCATTATCGTCATCAATATCCACAAGGTCGATAATACCTTATAAAATAAATGCGAAAAACTTAATTTATCAAATTGTTTATTTAAACAAA